GTTAACTGTGCTAAACTTTAGATGCATTTTATATCTATTTATTTTTCTGTACATACATATTTTATAAAGTTGTGATCATGCTGTTTATCCAATTTTATAACCTGTTTTTGTCACTGCATGTCATCAAAGGCTCCTAGAAAACATACTTTTTAAAAGGTGCACACATGAATATAGGTACAATTTATAATCCTGTTATTATTGGATATTTAAGATGTAATACTATATTTCTTGAATTCCCAGAAGTTTTGAATTCTAAATATTTCTTAAAAGACCCCCTAAAATATAATTATTAGGCTATAAAGGATGCATATAGCTAAAGCCTTAATACAGATTGCAAAATTGCATTGTATATTAAATTTCATTTAATTTTGTTACACACTGTTACATGCTAAGGCTATCATCCAGGGACCATAGCCACAAACTCTGGGAGTTATAATCCTTGCTTTTGAGAGAAATACCAGGCTGGTCAGAGGGCTGGTCAGAGGACCAGATACACAGAGTCTAGAACAAATAAATGTAAAGTAATAAAAATGCCAAGAGATGCACTCTGGCAAGCAACCTGAACAGAGGTGTTGGCTTTCTTGGAAGGGGAGCTTTCTAAACTGAGTATAGTTCTTTGGACTAGTAGAGAGGGGTTACCTGCTATCCTCTGCACGCTGCCCACCCTAGGAGAACCCCGTTTTGTGTACAGGAGAGGCTCAGGAGCGTCAAAAAAGATGTACTTCAATGTAGATAAAAAGGATAGGGTTGGGGACTACCACCAAGGAAGGGTGGGAGGCCCTGGCTTTCCTTTTTTAAATATATTTATTTAGTACAGGGTCTCACTACACAGATTAGATTCCTAGTGGTCCTTCCTGTTTTTCAGCCTCCCAAGCACTGTGGTTACAGGCACCATGCCCAGTCTGATTCACCATCTCACTGAATCATGAGGCAGCCTGCATCTGCCTCAACAAGTGCTTTAATCTGCTGAGCTTTCTGGCTGGCCCTTGACCCTGACTTTCAAACAGCTCCTGGTTGGTGTGTGGGGCAGCTTGATTGGGAGTAAGACATATGTTTGAATGTTGTGGTTCAGAGTGTGGTCTAAAGCCAATATGTTCACCTGGCTCCTGTGTCAATCAAAGCTATATTCAAATGAGGTCCCCAGGTGGTTCATGAGTACAGTGGTATTGCAGAGGGGCTATTCTTAGATTTTAATCACCTGCTAGCCACAAGTAAGGGTTGACATGAAAGTAGGCAGCAGCAAGAAAAAGTTACTGGTATCTGAGCCTGTTTCCAGCTGATACTGAATAGGATTTTTTAGGGCCACAAATCTGTAAGGTTGTGGATAGGCAAACTACAAGATGTAGTCTTCAGGTGGAAAAGTTTTTTCATAGTCTAGTAGCAGGATTAAAATTGCACTTCCAGAGCCAGGGTTCAGGGTCCTGAGTTCAATCCCCAGTACTGAAAAAAAAATGCACTTCCAAAAGTTCTGGCTTGACATCTTTTCTGTGTAGCCACAGGGTCACAGGATCCTCTGGAGGTCTCATTGGAGGGCTGGTTTCAGTTGGAAATTGATCAGGAAAATACAGATAAGTGTGGACTAATCTTCCTAAAGTATGGCTTTAAAAAATCCATCAAAACTAGTAACCAAAGCTGGGTGTGGTAGCCCATGCCTGTAGTTCCAGCTACATGGTAGGCTGAGGTGGGAATATTGTTCGATCTTAGAGTATGAGGCCAGCATATGTGACATATCAACACAAATAAAACACATCTTGATAGTCAAGCATAAACCCCACAAAATGTAACCCTTGGGTCATTATTTGACCAAATTATTTCCCAAATGGAAATATCAGTGGACTTTGAATCTCAAACTTCTAGATTCCTGGCTACTATGAACATTTTCAACAAAAAGGAAGGAGATTGATAATCTACATATTTCCTAGCTTTTAAAATAATGAAACAGATAAAGATAAATTGTTCTTAAAATCCTTGGTAAGAAGAGAAAAGTCAACTTTGTGAATTGCTGGATTATTCAATCAGCATGACTTGATGGCACTGCTTAGGATGCATGGAGAACGGTTGATGCCAGCCAAATAAGACATATGTGACAGTCCATGGTAGGTTTCAAGAGTGGGTTTGGTGTGGTGGTTTTTCTCTCTCTTTTTTTTTTTTTTTTGGAATGGGATTGAACTCAGGCCCTTGTGCTTGCCAGGAAAGCACCCACTCTACTGAGGCATCTCTCTGGCCCAGTGTGGTGGTTCTTAAGCAGAACAATCTTGCCTTCTGCTCTACCAGAGCACAATTATCAGTGTCTACAATTACCATCACCAGGAAGGGCAGAGTGTGCTACTAGTTGTGGAAGTCAGTGATGCCACTGAGGATGGGATAATACACAGGACAGCCTGTTTGACAAAGGGATCCAGTCACAATGTGAGCTATGCCAGAGTTAGCCTAGAAATTATGGATTCTACCCATTCCTTTTCCTGATCCCTATGAAAGTGTTCTGCACTATCATGGTCAAGTCTACAAACATTTTGTTGCCTGCTACTGGGGAATGACTTTGTTCTCGGGCCTTGGCAGTCAGGAATAGGTGGTCCTTGTCAGGTCTCTGACTTCTCTGTGCTCAGGGTGGCTCCAAGCACCCTCACCTCACCATCAGTGTTCAACAAAGAGCTGATAGGCTGAGTACATGGCTGCTGACCTTGGGACAGATTTTTGCTTCTGCCTCCTGCTCTCTGTGGTGGCAGATTAGTGTTGTTACATGGGTACTGAAACTGCAGGGTATTAGGAGTTTTGGAGTAGAAAGAGACAAATTTGAAGGTGCTACATTTAGTCTTTGTACTATCTTCTGGGCAACACACGTCCCAAAGTGAGAAGGGGTGATCCAGACACTACAGTCCTTGTAAGCCATAATCTGTTCATGACTTGAACAGGACTTCCCTTCTTAGAAGAGCTGTGAGCAGGCCTATGTAGACACTCAGGACCTTAGCCAGCTATGCATATTCAGTCAAATTGTCTTTATGGGCATTTGTGTTAAATCCTACCCTAGACCAACCTCAGTGTTGAATTGAGGAGATCTACCATGGTTAACATGGTTATCTCTTAGGTGGGATTATAAGATTTCTATTCATCTCCATTGCATTCTATATTAAATAAAGGCTGCTGAGTGTGTGTATCTGTAGTGCAGTCATGTGAAGGAAACAGGAGGAGGGACAACATTGCAAAATAACTCTTTTTGCTAAACCTATGGCATTAGAGACCCTGGAACACAACATGTTCTAGCCTCCAGGTTATAGATCTTGTGACCCAGATTGAGAGTTTCAAATCCCATGATTCTGGGATCCTCACCTGGAAGAATGGACAGAAACCCTTACATCCAAAATGACCCTTTCAGCAATCTCTTTCTGGGTATGGACATGCACCAGAGAGAAGATTATTCAGGTGTCAACTCTCATAGTGCAATCTCAAAGGGGAGGAAATTGCAAATGTATTTAAAGGAAACTGTCTGTGGCCCAGTGGAACACTGATACCCATGACAGCTGTGATTAGCCTGCAGGGAGTGTGTCCTGTGTTCTCAGCATAGGCATTGTGTCTGAGGCACAAGAGGGACAAACCATAAAACTGTTGGCAGTGGATGAAACTGGAAGAGGGTCATATGTGTGAGGGCAGGACATTGCCACAGTACCTAAAGCAGTCAAGCTACCTCAGTCTGACAAAAGCATCCTACCTGGACATTTTGAGTCATTAGTGACCAGGCAACATTGTGTCTCCTGATACTAACTTTGCAAAGGCATAAATAAATGACAGTACTGTTGTATGAGCTCTTTGTAAATCAAGCAAACAGACCTCCATTTGAACCCAGCTTTCTCATTCTTACTGAAAGACTAACAAATCTATACATTTTTGCACCTAAACAGGATGCCTGATAAAAGATAAATGGGCATCAGGAACCCTTCAGAAGTACAACCATAAGGAAGTGAATTGGTTATAGTCAGTATTCAGCATAGGCATGCATTGGTACTGGCATCATCAGGTGTAAAACTTGGGGATGGAGGCTCACTGGGGACACAAATGGGTTTGTTAGGGTCAGAAATGGGTTGACTAGGGCCAGAGGGATAAACAAGCTAAAAGAGAGATATAGGTTTGAGAAAAGCTAAAAAAGGAAAAAAAATTATATAGAACTAAGAGAGTTTTAA